TTGACTGTTAAATAATGTGTGATATAATACAAACATAACCACTACAAAAAAACAAAAAAAACTTCAAATTGCGACCGATTTTTGCGACCGACACAAATCGGTCGCAATATTGATACCAATTTGCGACTGATTGGAAAACAGTAGCAGATTTTAGCGCGGAAAACTCGCGCGAGTTTGTCTTTCCGTTTGCGACCGAATTACTTCTAATTTGCGACCGATGTTGCGACCGATTTGAGACCAAATGTGTTTTTGTCGCAAAAAGGGGCGCGTAAAAAAAAGGATAAAATCTGAGACCGAAATGAGATAAAATTGCGACCGATATTTTGCGACCGACTATTTGAGTCGCAAATCGGTCGTAATTTTGGCGGTATTAAAACGACGTCGGACAATTAAAATTGCGACCGAAACAAATTGCCTTTTGCGACCGATATGTCGTTGCAAAAGGTTTAGGGCGTTTAAACGAGCCCTCTCCTTTTCCTGTTCTTCTTCTTTCTCTCTTCTCCTCTTCCTCTTCTCCTCGAGCAGCGAGGCAAATTTTGAGGATAATCAAGCTCCAGCTGCATAAAGAAGGATACACATGGGATGCCGTACCACAAGAGGCGAGAGACTTTATTGGGAGGAGTTTCAGGTACTCTTTGGTTTAAGTTCTATCATCATTGAATGTTTACAATTCAGGATACATCCTTAGTGTTGAAACGCTATATTTAATTTTTTGCAAAAACATTTCATATGGGACGAGGCCATTCGGCTATGCTGAAAGTAGCCTGGGAGAAGATATGCGCCGATCGATATGCTGACTTCACCTATAGGATGAGAAAAAGCGGTAAGAAGCAGCAGTGGAGCTGGCAAAAGGCTTGGGAGGATCCTGCATTCAAGAGAAAGCGGGAGATGTTTGCACAAAACAGGCGCAGTGAGACTGGCGGGGATGGAGCAGGACCTTCGCGACACACAGGCGGATCTATATCTGCTATAGAGACAGCTCGATTATTAGTAAGTGAACTAGTCCCTTTGCAAGAAACTGATGTTTAATGAAAGGACAATATATATATTAATATATCATGCATAAAAATTCATTACAGGCTAAAGAATTAGGTCGTGAGCCCACACCGATCACCGATTGAGGTGTTTACATATACTCACACGAAGGACCACGATCTTAATACGTTTGTCGACAGACGTGCGCTGAGCGTCAATGTAAGTAACAATGAATATTTACCCTCTAGTCGTTGCGAATATGTACAAAGTTCAATATAATAAAGCTTGTAACTGCATTGATTAATTAATTTTTTATTTTCAGGAGAACTATACTACAGCTCGGGATCAGGAAGCGCTAATAGCGACATCTCACACTAGCCTTCACTCAGTCAAACATGTGAAGTCGCGTGAAGCTCTAACTTGTCAAGGAAAATGACGAGGGTAAGCGTTATTCTTCGAGGCTGTTAGGGGGCGAGAAGAAGAGGAAGGTATACGGCAGGGTCTCAGCACCACAAGTTCCTTAACACTGGCTCAGCAGCTCAACACTTCTACAGCCAGCGCAGCACGACAGCCGCGAGCACCACTTGACTTCGCAGTATAATTGATGATATACGCGTCAGCTTGGAACGCTTGACAGCAGAGACAGATTGCAGAGCTTAGAGCGCAGTCTGCGGGCTGTCCTGGTGTAGGGCCCGTGCTGGTACTTTCCTCCTCTGATCCTGCGCCTTGCTGACAGACCACATGTTTTTGGACGTTCAGCAAACGAGGCCCACTTCCTGCTCTTGATCGCCGATGCTGCAGACGAATACCTTTGTCACCCCGTCCTGTGCTACAATTCACATCCAGCAGTACTCCTGCTCGCCGATCCGACACGATCCTGCATGAGCAGCAGCATAGATTTGATTTGGGACCCTTTTAGTTTTTTATTTATTTTGATTGATATGTTTTAATTTGTTCAGTTAGCAATAAAAATGTACAATTTTTACATTAAAATCTATTTTATTTGTATTTTGATATTTTAATTTGTATCAGTACAATAAAATTCACAATTACATTCGTTTCTGTTGAATGGTTGCGTGTGTGATTCATATTATGTCAATTTTCACAGGTGCGGAAAAATTTTGGTTTTATAATAATATTTATTTTTTTTTTATTTTTTTAATTTTGCAACCGATTTGCGACCGCTTTGATACCGACAATTGCAATTTTAAATTACATTTTACGACGGCTTTGTGACCGATTTGAGACCGAATTTACGACCTATTTGCGACTGATTTTAGACCGATTTTTGAGACCGATTTGCGACCGATTTAATAAATTTGCGACCGTTTATTTTGCGACCGTATTAGCGACTGAATTTCAAAGTCAACCACGACCAAACATTGCGACCGATTATTAAAGTTTACGACCGATATATCGGGTGCACATATTCGCGATCCGAGTTATTCCATCGGTGCGCAAATTCATTTTGCGACCAGCCTATTTTGCAACCGACTATTATATTCCTTTTCTAGATCCCCGTTCGCCCAAAATTATTATTCAGTCCCATAATATGTCGGTCTCAGATCGGTCGCAAAATTAATTTTGCGACCGATATGAGCCATTTTCCGACCGATTTGTCGGTCGCAAAATGGCGCATTTCTTGTAGTGTAAATAGATTAATATTCTATCAATAATATTATTATCTCATCCTAACAGAAATTAGACAATAGTCAAATTAAATTATTAATTAGAGAATAATCAATAGCTCATGCCACATGTAAATATAACATGGCTTATAAACAAGGAATATCTAAATATATATTTAAAATATTAAATGTGGGAGAAAATATAAATCGACACTACTGTTCTACTGTTTCTTGCACATCAAATCTTGTTTTTTTTTTTTTAATTGTTTGATTTTATGTAAATAGCCTTTGCTTGGGTAAAGTGTAAATCAAAGCAAAGGATTTTTTTTTTTTTTTAATCTATCAATATCGCATGGTTAAGATAAATAAAACATATATATTATCACCAAGAATATTAAAGAATACGTGTAATATTTACTTTCAAACAAAAAATTAACATGCTTACTTAACCTCTTATGTGGTCAGATTTGAATTAACATCGTTATCGGTGGAGAAAAATAAAATATTTATAAAATATAAAGATCATTATGTAATTATTAAAGAAAAAAACAGAGAGTAAAATCTTATCTTTTTATTTTTTGAAGGAAACTCAATATTTACATATTGTTGTGGAATGTGTGTTCCATGTTCACCGCACCAATTGATAGCTTCGAAAATATTAGAGACAATTTTTAGAAAAAGATTAATAACATTTAGAGTTTTATTGCTTTGAGAGCGATTTCCTCTACTGAGAAATAATGTTGTATATGCAGGGTTCAAGAACCCTAAGTCAGTATTTAATTAAGAAAATATATATATTTCTAATGAAGATTCTATGTTGAATATTCATATTAGTCCTTATAATTGTTGGAGAATTGCGCCTAAATTACCACTAAGTCCTTAGTATGTTGTTTTCGTATACATCAATGGTGTAACTTATTTTTTATGTGGGAGATATTTATTTCTTTTCTATAACCCTTATCTCAAAAATTAAAAAATAAAATAAAATAAAAGAGTTGTAGAAAAATCGAGCTTTCTCAACTAGCTAGGCTTACATTTAAAAATAATTGTCATGGAATTACAAGAAAAACCAATATCTCATCAGAAAATACAAAAACAGAATTAATTCTGCAGAGATAACCTTAACCACATCATCTTATACACTAATCTGAAAAGAGTAATCCTCCATAAAAGGGTATATCTGTGTTAGGCAACCAAGTATCTCCCATAGTGAAGTTATACACAGTGAAATTGACAGCTTCTGAAACATTCATAATACTATAACCTCCCCACTGTACTCGCAAACTAGTATTAGCACCAGGTCCATAATTATCAAACTCACCATAATAGAGCGTGTCCAATCCAACCGTCCCGTTCCATGCGAGCCATCCATTCTTATCTATCAGATCGCCAATGTACGACTCCATATATACAGTTCTCGAGTATTCTTTCCAAGGCCTGCCCAGATAATTTAACGTCGACGAGTTCACCTCCATTGCCAAGTCCGGTGCAGCTTCAATGGTGCAATTGTGAATAGAGATGCCTGTGTTTTGATTGGGGTCCGTTCGGCCTTGCGCTGTTATAGCATTCTTCTGGTTGGGTAATGGTTTTCGAGTGTACAAATTGCAGCTCTGAAATACAGCAGCTGCGTTGCCGAAGATGAAATCTACTGTCCCGTATATATCGCATTCTCTGTAGAATTGCCTTAGGGAGTGTACGTAAAGAGTGTCTTGATAGCCTTCAAAACTGCAGCGATAAAATGTGGAGAGATCGGCGTTATTTCTTACTGCTACTGCTTGATGCTTCGCCGGTCCGGCTGTGTTTCTGAATGTAATGTCCACGGCAATAAATCGCTCTCCGGAAACCGCTGTACCATAACAGACGTATCGATTCTTGTTTTGTAGAAATGTATAAATGAATTTAAAGTGTATATATATGTAAAGTATAGTTATAAATATGGGCGACCATTCAATCGGTTGGATTTATAAATCAAACTGAATTGGCTTAATATTTTTATTGACTTAATTTTTGAATTAAATCAATTAAATTTTTAAAATTTTTATATCTTTTAATCGTATAATAAAAATCTAACTGAAAAAAAAAAATTTTGACCTTTGTCAGCTTAAGTTTTATAACATCTTCTTCTAATATTCATTTCCTGTCTTTCTCACCTTATTTGACTCTTTTTCAATTTTCTTAAAATTCTATGAAATTTTTCTTGGAATATCAGAATATGGAAGAAAATTAAAGGAAAATTTTGAGATTTTTCAAAGAAAAATTAAAGATAAAGACAATTAAAGAAAGTGAAATAATAGAAAAATATTGAATGAAATTAATAAAATTCATATACTAATTATAAAATTAACTCAATTATTTATAAAAAATAGAATTTAATTTTACTATATTAAATTATATAAATTAAAATCATAACAAGAAGTAAATATATATTTCTATTTATATAATTACTATTTTAAATGAAATCTAATAAAAAGAAAAATATGGTTGACTTACCAAAGGTTGAAGAATTATAAGTAGTCCAGCCATCTACGACACTATGGTTTCCTGTAATAACGGTACGATTAATTCCATCGCCGATGAGCAATATATTCTTCTTATATTTGGGCACAACAACATACTCCTCGTAGTATCCTTCTCTTGCATATATTACAAAATACCCATCTTCTTGCTTTGAATTGTTGGGTGCTATAGCTATTGCGTCTCCAATCGATGTGAAGTTGTAATCGCCGTAAGGGCTGACGATCACTGTATCATTTATGAGAATCCCACCTGACTCTGTGTCGGCAAGATTCCGACCAACTTTCTTCCGGCAATCGGAACCACCAGACTTGTGGCATGAACTTTTAGTTTTATGTAAAGCCTGCACATTATTATAAATAATTAAATTTCGGAAGCTTCCTATTGTCATATTTTGTTTACATATAGGTGTTTTACTATTTTGCCAAATTGCAACTTTAAAATTGTTAAATTGTAAATAGAAAGTTAAGAAATAAGAAACCAATAATTTTTAAAATTTTCCATTCCCCTGTTCTATGCTAAAAAGAATTAGGATAAAATATAACTAAGTTTCTAAATTATATTAGAATTAACATTTAAGTCTTTTTATATTTAAAAAATAATTATAATATCACGAAATTATAATTTGATTCCATTATTAAATTTTTTCATCTAAAAAGTAAGTTTTTTGTCGTTAATTAGATACACGTTTTAGACGAAATATGTTTTTTTTAAATAGAAAGAGCTTATCTTTTTTCTTTATGGAAGTCGATAGTGAGATAAAGTATAAATTAAAAATTTCATAAATATTTCTGAAATATAAAAGAAATTTAATTTTAATTTCAACATTTTTTCTTTTTTTGAAACCCCGTTTTATACCCAAAAATTATGCATTGGACAGACAGCTGGACTAGGCCTAGTGTTGTGTATTACAAGGCCGAATTTCTTAGCAGTCAACGCGTAAACTGCATGTGATGAAGAGTGAGTAGTGGTACCACTGCCACCCCATAATTTCTTTTTCTTTTTTGAATTTATTTATTTTCTTTAGATCTAGGAAGATCAACTTGTAAGTCATCCCCACGTGTCATGTGCGATCTATCGCGGTCAATAAGATCGTTGACAAACCCCAACCACCAAATTTATTTCAGTTTTCAATATAAAAAAAAAAAAAAATACCAACTCATACAAAGAAACATCAGTTTTAAATTATACTACTAATGAAAAAAAATGTTTATACAAGAATTAAGAAGCACGTCATTTTGTTTATTACATTAATAATATAATTTTAAAAAGCTAAATTAGATTTTTAAGCAAATATGACTAAAAATGAGTAATGTGATTCATAGATAGTTTGAAAATTAACTTAAAGAAAATTAAAAATAAAAAAACTCATTCAATAAGTTTAGTGAATAGTGAACGGTTAAAAATATATTTTTTAATTAATTTTATATATGAGTAATTTCACATACAAAAGTCTTATTCCGGAACCCATTTAATAATTGAGTTAAAATTGAATTTAAAACTAAAAAGAGACAAACTTTTCTTTAAAAAAATAATTATTAAATTATTAATTCAATGAGATAAGAAAATGTTTTTTGAAGTAATTATTATCTCCATCCTAAAAGAATAATCTATCTTTCATTTTTTGTTTGTCCTAAAATATAGATTGCTTTTCTTTTTTACGTTATAGTTAATTCTTAGATCGTCTATTATACCTTATTAAATTTTATCTTATTTTTAATAATCTTTATTAGTTTTCACTTATTATTTAAATATAATAATTACTCGTGTGTTATTTAAGATGAATATAATAAAAAAATTATATAAAGAAAATTATATTTTAACTATGATAATTACTAATTTTTTAATTTATATGAAAATAGAAAATGAGCGGAATATTTTAAAATTACTTTCACAAACCACCTAGAGCACCACATTTTATACGCATTTACCATACAGATGCAAACAAAAATATCTCATTTAACGAGAAAAAAGAAAAGACTGTTCCTTGTGTTTTAGAAGCTAAGCAATGCATTAAAATTATCCTAGGAAAACATACCCAATCTATGGAAGAGCACCTATACTTGATAAATAAACCTAAGTAGTTGAAAAGTCAACAACTGAGATTTCGTAGACCGACACATTTGTCCCTCTCAGCTTGTTTAGGAATAGGAGTATAGTTTATTCCATCTACATAATTTTAATTCTCTAGTTAAAAACAGTACACTTACAAATTCACTAAACATTATATGGAAAATTTTCGGTTATTATCAATTATTTCATGTTTCTATAATAAAAAATTGTATTTAAAAATATAAAATTAGAAAAACATCCATTAAAAACTAATTTAATTAAAATAATAATAATAATAATAATAATAAATTATTGTCAGATCATATCACATACTCTCTTCGTCTCATTTTGTTTGCTTAGTTTGATAAAATACGTGTATTAAGAATTCAGTCAAAAAAATTATTTTAACTTTTAACCCCTAATTCATTAAGATATTAATAAAAGTATTTCATTTAATGATCAATCATAAATATTATTATGGAAAAAAATAATTGTTTAAATATATATAAATTTAGACACCTTGCAAATATGGACATCCAGAAAAGGAATAACAAGCAAACTAAATAAGACAAAAGGAGTATATTTTTATAAAATTAGCTTCATATTCATTATAAGTAAAATTATTACTAATTATGTCACTTATTACAGTAAAATTACTTTTATGTTAATCGGGTAGTGGTTTGATTAGTCTTCTCATTTATGTGAGGAGCAGGAGGTTTTGAGTTAAGTCGTCTTAGCCAATATTATTTTTTCCAATTTGATAAGTCAAAGGGAAGATTATCCCCTATTATGTGACCGCAATGTTATTTTAACTAACAAAAGCCTTCAACGAATTAAAAAATAAAATAAAATTAATTTTGTAACCACATTTTCTTTTAAAAAAAAAATAGAGATAGAAGAATTATATATGCGACGCTAACTAGATTAGGCTCAAGTCTTTTGTTGCATACTCTATCTTATGCTTTTTGTTACTTAATGAAGCAAATGATTCTTAAAATTTTAAGAAGTTTTTTTATTTTCCTATTTTAAAACGTAAATGATAACAAAAAATTCATATATATATATAGTCAACTTCAACTGGTTTAAGACTAGACTTAATTATGATTGTTATAATTTTTTTTATCCTAGTCAATTCGATAAATAAGGCCATAATTAACATTTTAAATAAATAGTTTTTTTCAGTATATCAATATTTACAAAGTCATTATGTATAGTATTTTCCCAAATACATTAATATACGTTTAAAAAAATGGTAAATACCTTGATAAGAGAATCCAGCGGCTCACGAACTCCTTTCTTTGAGAAAACTGACCGTTGATTTTTGCTCCTTTTATTTTTCTTGAGATTTCTATCCAGTGCATGCGTGACCAGTCCAAGAGAAACACTATACAGGTCACTAACATTAGCGATAGGATTATACAATCCACCAGCAATGCTACTCTTAGAATCCACCAACCCATCAAAGCAAGTATCCTGGTTAGTCACTACCCCACTCAGTAAACTCGTGACTCGCTCCACCAACTCACCGCTTAACGACGCAGCTGCTTGCAACTCGGTAGATATAGTTTCCAAATAATCCACACTGAGTTGAGTTAGCTCATGGCAATCCGTTAAAGCGCCAATCTCTTCGCGACTCAGTTTTGAACGATACTTATCGTGAGTTAAGTAGTAATTAATGGCTTTGGATAATCTATGTGTTTGTTTAAGGCATTGTTTAACGGAGAACTTGCCGTAGTCGTATGGATCCGACGATGAAAAACGAAAGGTTGATAGAATGGAACGACAGAGTTTTGGGTAGGGAGTGGATTTGCAAGCAATGGAAGGTGATTGTGATTGATCAGAGGAGACTAACAAAAATGAGGAGAGAGAAAGAAGAGTAAAGATGAAGAAGGAGGACGATAGGTTTGCCATTTTCGATCGGTTTAATTATAATCATATCAATGCGGGTGCATTGTGTTTATATAGCCGATGAGTAGTGTAAGGAGTAAGACTGTATATATTTTTGCATTATAATAATAATAATAATATTATTATTATTATTGTCATTTTTTTTTTATTTTCATTATATTTTCAGTACTAACCTCGTTAGTTTTCCTTCTCAAGTTACTCGTGGAGTATACATCTGTGCAAAGTATACATCTCGTGGAGTAAAATTGTATTTAAAAAAAAAAACGCAATAGTTTTCCAAAAAAAAAAAAAAAAAAAAAAAAAAAAAAAAAAAAAAAAATATTATTATTGGTCTATTTTTTTTTTTTTTATTTTATATTTTCATTATAATTTTCGCCTCAGTACTAAAACCTACGTGTTCAGTGTGCGCGTGTGCTACACAGTTACTCGTGGAGATATACATACTGCCGCTCGCGAAAGTATACATCTCGTGCGAGTAAAATTGTATTTTAAAAAAAACAAACCGCCCCGAATAGTTTTCCCCAAAAAAAAAAAAAAAGAAAAAAAAGCAAAAAAAAAAAAAAAAAAAAGAAAACCATAAATATAATCTAAAACACATTTTAAGATAAAATAACCGTAGCAGCTATTAATGCTCATATTTTGATCACAACGAATATGTCTTCCGTTTCCTGACTCCCTTACTAAGTGTGATTATTATTTTCAAATAAAAAAAAGACAAAGCAACGCTCTTGTAAAAAAAAAAAAAAAAAAAAAAAAAAAAAAAAAAAAAGAAAACATAATTATCTAAAATCACATTTTAAATAATAACCTAGCATATTAATTGTCATATTTTGACAAAGAATATGTCTTGTTCCTATCTTACTAAGTGTGATATTATTTTCAAATAAAAAAAAGACAAGAAACGCTTTGTAGTATGGTTAGCATACTTTCTCTCCGTCTATTCTATTTATCAGCTTTGAGAAAAAGTTGTCTAAAATTATATATTGCTTCGAAAAAATTAACAAATATTAATTATCATTTTATCTTTATTTCTACTAAAATGCAGTAACTATTTAATTTCTTAAAACATATGTTATAATTTTTCTTCTTTTTCTCTCTTCCATTTGTTTCCGAAAAATAACTTACATTTAGAAAATATTTTTCAAGGAAAATATAATTTTTAAAAAATATTTTTCAAATAATTTATTTTCGATTGTTTGGTTGCAATATTGAAAATTAGTTAAAAATATTAAAATTATTAACTAATAATAATAATATAAATTTCGTATATTAAAAATTTTATTATTAAAAATATGAGAATAATGCAAAAAAAATGGCAAATTATGAAAGTCGCCAATAACCAATGACGGTGGCCGACGATGGTGGTGACCGGTGATAGTGGCTACCGATAATTAATAAATTTTAAAAAATAGATTTATAAGATTATAATAAATTTATCAAAGTCCGGAATGTTTTACGCTTTTGAAAATGGAAAAATATAACTTAATTTTTGTTTAACAAGAAAAATATTTTTTCATGACTTATTTTCTCGAATGCTCCCAAACAACAGAAAATTACAAAAAATATTTTTTCACAAATTATTTACGGAAACAAACGAAGCCTTAATTTAATGACAGATTAATAGAGAAAGAATTATTGAAATTAGAGTAATCCGATAAGATAAATAATAATTAAATCAAATTACCAATTAGTAAAAGGTATTTCATCATAACTTAGGTAAGATAATTACTTTTTTAATCCGGTAGAAAAGCCAAAGCAACAATAAGAATAGATGGAGAGGATATAGAAGTTAACTTATTTTTCAAAATTTTACATAATTTTAATAAAGATGTGTCCAATTCCTTTCCTATAGTTTTGTTACGTAAAGAACAAACAACACATGACTATACGAACCCCACAAGTAAAAATTTGAAAGCACCAAATAGAATTTACCAATTTCATTAGTTTATGGGTTGAGTTTAATTTCCCAATTTGGTTTTTAAATATTTGACATGTAAGTTGGTCAACCCAATTGAATTCTGACCTAGGAAGAAGGAAAGCGCGTGATAGTTATTATTGGAAAGGGCAATTGGTGGTGTCGGTGCGGCAATCAATGAACACTTTCAAATAGAAGACAGTTGGATTGTGTATTTTTAAGGGAAAGGGAAAGATACAGTAGCTTCGGTTGGAGTGTAATGATAACAATTTTGTTTACACACCAAATTACCAACCTCTTCTACCACACTACTTTCGACCAAGAAGGCTAGGATTAAGGTAACAGTATGCAATATCCATCTCCAGACCTGACTTCCATTTCAATTGGGAAAAAAAAAAAAAAAAACAATATCAACAATATAAAAAAATTATTTCTATTTAATTAACTTTTTTCATTAAAAAAAACTCCCTTTGTTCTTTTTATGTAGAGAAAATTTCTTTTTTGGATGTATTTTTTATATAGGAAATTTTACTCTAAATAGTGACTTTGGGATTCAAGCCAAGTTAAAAGACTAGAAAGCTGTTGGAATGTATGTATTTGTTTTAAGATTGAAGTTCATTAATCAAGAAAAATGGCAGACACAAATATTCTCAGCATTTAATGCATACGTGTTTCAAAGGATAAGTTATCAACTCACTTTTTCATTTCGTTTTACAGTAACAGTGGTCGTTTTTATAAATTTGACCACAAGATTAAAGTTTTGATATTAAAAGTCAAAATAATGGCCACATAAATGTAGAGTTAGCCTTTATTTGTATGTTTGATGAATATATCTCCATTTTTATCATTGTAAATTTAGCCAAAACCGTTGACGTCAGGAACAAATATATGTTATGTTCAGTTAAGTTTTGAAAACGACCATGTTTTGTTTTTAAAAGTGCATGTGTGTTTTGATTATTCAAAAAACGGGAAATTAAAGTTTGATTAGAAACCATTCTCTTAAAAATTCCTAAAATTCGCCCTCTCTCTTGTAACCACATTTTGTGGTCTTGTTATTATTAGTTGTGCAATTCTTTAAGCCATTTTGTGCCCTTATTATTATTAGTTGTGCACTTTTTTAGTAATTGTTGTTTTCTATGTTAGGTAACGGTTGTGAACTTCTATAAGCCATTTTGTAGCCTTGTTATTATTAATTGTGCACTTTTTCAAATTCTTATAATTGTTGTACTCTTTTGTAACCCATTTATAATTGTTGTACACTTAGTGACCTTTTGTTTATAGTACTTATGCACTTTTTTAATGATTTTTGTTTCTCTGTGTTAGTTAACAGTTATAAACTTTTGTAAGCCACTTATGGCCTTTTTATTATTAGTTGTGCACTTCTATAAGCCATTTTGTGGTCTTGTTATTATTAGTTATGCTCTTTTTCAAATCCTTATAATGGTTTTGTAACCCCCTTTGTGGCCTTATTATTACTAGTCTTGCACTTTTCAAAATTTGAAGTTGTCACACATTTTGCTAGATTATGCACTTTTTTAAAAAATTGTATCTTCAAACTCACACTAAAATTTGAATTTTAGTACTCACTTTCAAATTAAAAACTTTTGTAAGCCACTATATAGGCCTTTTTATTATTAGGTGTGCACTTCTTAATAAAGCCATTTTGTGGTGCTTGTTCATTATTAGTTATGCTCTTTCAAATCCTCCGGACTTGTATAAGGGTTTTGTAACCTCCCCTTATTGCACCTTATATACTAGTCTAGTGCATTTCCAGAAATTGAAGTTAGATCACACACATTAATTTGCTAGCATTATAGCACTTTTTTTTTAAAATTGTTTAAGTTCTTCAAACTCACCTCACTAAAATTTTTGGAAATTTTAGGCTCACCTCACTTTTTTCCACGATAGTGTAAACTGTTAAGGCAGAGTCAAATACAGTAATTGTGCATTTTAAGGGAGATCGCCGTAACATATATGAATAATAAAATTAGATTAAGACAAGATACAAGATTACAAATTGAGGAAGAACAATTTGTGCACACATGAAGCAGAAGCGCCCAATTCAACAGCCAGGGCACCTAGAGATAGTCTCATGCCAGACCTTCCAAAGGCGGTGTCATTTCATTTATCCCTATCAGCTGAGCATATCCACTCCTTTTTCTACCCTTTGTTGTCAAGAGACCTTTAAAACCATATAAGTTATTATGAAGGAATTACATCTTTACAGTTTCTGCCCAATATCTATAAATCTGCTTCACAGAATATGCAATAATGTTACGGTCGCAACTTTTTCTGATGTAATTCGTAACGCCGGTTCAACTAACCATCTTCAACTTCAGACATAAGCCATCGGTTGTTTCACAGAGATTTTGGACATCGATCAGCTACATTTTTCCTTTTGTTCCCTCATCCCACATTGCTTTGAACAATAATTTCTGGGGGTCCATAATTATTATCAGACAATCATAGTCATTTTTCTAATGTTGTGCACTTCTATAAGCCATTTTGTGGTCTTGTTATTATTAGTTATGCTCTTTTTCAAATCCTTATAATGGTTTTGTAACCCCCTTTGTGGCCTTATTATTACTAGTCTTGCACTTTTCAAAATTTGAAGTTGTCACACATTTTGCTAGATTATGCACTTTTTTAAAAAATTGTATCTTCAAACTCACACTAAAATTTGAATTTTAGTACTCACTTTCAAATTAAAACTTGTTAAGAGGTCAAATACAGTAATTGTCATTTTTAAGGAATGCGTAAATATATGAATATAAATTGATAAGACAAGATAACAAGATTACAAATTGAGAAGACAATTTGTGCACACATGAAGCAGAAGCGCCCAATTCAACAGCCAGGGCCCTAATAGCTATGCGCCTTCCAAGGGGCATTTCATTTATCCTATCAGCTGAGATATCCACTCTTTTTCTACCCTTGTTCCAAGGACCTTTAAAACCATTAGAGTTACCTTTAGGATTCATCTTTACATTTCGCCATATCTTATAATCTGTCTTCACAGATATGCCAAAAGTGGTCGCAACTTTTTCATAATCGTACGCGTTCAACTAACCATCTTCAACTTCAGACATAAGCATGGTGTTCACAGAGATTTTGACATCATCAGCTACATTTTTCCTTTTGTTCCCTCATCCCACATTGCTTTGAACAAAATTTTGGGGGTCACTAATATTATAGACAATCATAGTCATTTCTAATTCACTATGTATAGGATTAGAGATGCTCAAATGACCCGACTCGAATGGATCGGATAAAACCCGCTCCATTTATTGGCTTGGCGAATATGGAGTTTAAAATTAAAACCCGACTCGAGTTTGGGTCGGATACGGGTTGAGCATGAACCGATCAATACCCGACCCATGAAGGACATTTTTGTGATTATATGCCAAATAATTTGCAACCCTAAAAAAATAAAACATATCGCTGCGCTTTCTTCTTTTTTACACAGTCTAAGTATCTGAAATCTAAATGCTTTTAATCTTCTCTTCTCTACCTCTCTTGCTTCTTTTTTCTAATTATTATTATCTTCATCAATCGACATATTTGATGCAAGTTTCAGTCAATCTTCTCCTTTGTAGGTTCATTCTAATGAATTTTTATTTTTAAAATTCTTAATTTTTTTTAGGCAAAGTTTCAATATTATATTTGTTGAATATGTAACTGGTTAAAAAAAATGAAATTTATTATGTTTGCTGAGATTTTATTATATTTTTATATTGAATTTGTAATCTCCTACAATATATACATCCTTTCTTATTTTTGTTTTATCCAATATGTAATCTTCTTCTTCTTCTCGTAAAATGTTGCATATATTTGCTGAATATGCAATCTTTTTTTTTGTGTGCTTTATATTTTCTTACATTAATGTTGAATTTTTTAAGCCTGTTCATAATTAAATTATAGCCTTTGTTTAATAATTAATTAATTAAACAAAGACATTTGACTGGTTGAAGGAGATTAAACTCAAGTAATTCAACTAGGCAAGTAATTCTCTAACTCATTAACTTTAAAATACCTACTGCTAGTATGAAGTTAGAAGAGAGGCTTTTTTTAGATAGTTTATATGCAGTAAATAATTATAGAGAAATAGAATTTGAAACAATTTATTAAAAAATATTACTGTGAAACTTATTTATGAATATATTTGTGGAAAATAAAGATACAATTAATCTAAAGATAAATTTAAATTAATTAATGTTAGTCTAAGATGATAACAAAGCGAAAAGATAAATAAGAAAAATCTAGAGTTGTTTTTTATATCCTTATTCCTTAACAATAATGTCAAACAATATGAAGTTGAAGCCATGAAAAATTTTTACTTAGTTTAAAGAAATTACCTGATCATTTGTACTTTTTATACTTTTTATTCTTTTTTATCTTTTCATAAAGGAGATGAGCTTGAAAAGATATAACAATATAAAAGAAATAATTAATGAAATTCATATTATTTATAAAATAATTTATATTTATGAACATAGGTTCTAAATGGCATCTTCAAATATTAATAGCTCAAGCTCACCAATGGAGGTTGGTAGCAATAAAATTCCACTATCATGTGACAATACTCCAATTTCAGCAACTCTGGAAAATAGTAGTTCAATACCCAATAGTAATACACATGCTTCTTATGAAGTTGAAGTTGTTGAAATGAATAGAAAAAGAAAATTAACCTCAGATGTTTGGAATGATTTTACAAGAAAGATGGTCGAGGGGAAAGATAAAGCTCAACGCAATTATTGTTTAAAATTTTTAGTAGGAGAAAGTAAACATGAGACTTCACATTTGCATCAACATTTAAAAAGATGTCTTAGGAAGAACTTTCAAAATATAAAGGACATAAGGCAAAAAGTTCTAATTAGTGAATAAAGAAAAGTAGATGGTGTGATTAAGTCTACCATAGGCACTTATCATTTTGATGAGGATGCAACAAGAAAAAAGCTTGCTCGCATGATCATTTTACATGAATTTCCTCTTAAAATGGTTGAGTATACTAGTTTTAGGAGTTTCATTCATTCTCTTCAACCATTATTTAAAATGGTTTCAAGACACATAATACAGAGGGATATTATGAAAATGTATAATTATGAGAAGAAAAAAGTGTTTCAAAATTGGACAAGATTCATTGTAGGATTGCTGTTACATGTGATATGTGGACTTCAAGCAACAAAAAGAGGGGATTCATGGGAGTCACAGCACACTACATTAATGATTGTTGGGTTTTGCAAAGTCGCATCTTAAGATACTTTCTGACCCATATCTTATATTATTGCTTTTATTTATATTGCTTTTTACTTTTATTTATAGTAACTGTTTGAATATCATGAAAATAAAAAATAAAAAATTTAATAACAATCTTGATCATTTGTTGCATGATTTTTGTTTAGGTTTATTTATATGCCATCTCCTCATACAAAAGATGTTCTTTGTGATGTTCTCCTTGATTGTATGATAGAATGGGATATTGAACGAAAATTCTCTACTTTGACTTTGGATAATTGTACCACCAATGATGCCATGCTTATGCTTCTTTTGGATAAGCTTCAAACTAGTACTCTTTTGTTGGATGGTTCTCTATTGCATATGCATTGTGCTGCACACATTTTAAATTTGGTTGTACAAGATGGTCTGGCAATTATTTCACCTTTTATTGAAAAAAGTGCGTGATAGTGTGTTGCATTGGACTGGCTCACCAAAGAGGAGGCAAACATTTGATGAAATGGCTAGATTAATGCGTATTTTATGCACTAAGGAGTTGGCTCTTGATTGTAAGACTAGGTGGAATTCAACTTATTTGATGCTTTCTATTGCTTTGCTTTACAAAGATGTGTTTTTTCGATTGAGACAAAAAGATTCATTTTATACTTGGGTGCCAAGTGAAGAAGAGTGGAGACTAGCAAAAGAAATTTGTGAAAAGTTAGAGTTGTTTCATGATGAGACCAAAGTATTTTCAAGCTCTAAGTATCCTACAGCTAATGTCTACTTTACTAAGGTTTATGAAGTGAAAATAGCTTTAAATGAATGGATTTTGTCTTCTAATCAGGTAATAAAGAATATGGCTTTAGATATGATTATCAAATTTAATCGTTATTGGGATGTTATTCATGGCATCATAAGTGTTGCAGCTATATTGGATCCATGATTTAAGATGAAATTATTGGAATGGATGTTTTCTAAAATTTAGGGTAGTGAAGTTGCAAGTTAAATTCTTAGGATTAAAAATATTCTTTATGATTTACTTAATGAATACAATAAGAAAGAATTTAATCCTTCTTCATTTGGTACTTCAACATGTACAAATACTTCAACTTTTGCTATTAATTCTACTCATCTGGTGGGGAAGGATTTTCTTTTTGGGTTTGATTTGTTTGTGAGGAGTGATAACAAAGTTGAAAATGTGAATGTGGAATTAGATTATTATCTTGAGAATGGTGTGGTTCCTAAAACTGAGGAGTTTGATATTTTATCATGGTGAAAAAATCATGGACTTAAATATCCTACTTTGACATTAATTGCAAGATATATATTAGTTATTCCTGTTACAACAATTGCTTCTGAATCTGCCTTCAGTACAAATGGTAGATTATTGAGTCCATATCATAATAGGCTTAATTCTAATACAGTTGAAGCATTGATGTGTGCTCAAAATTGGCTATGGACAAAGATAAAAGGTAAGTTTTTTTCTTTAAGCAAGGTTCTTTTTTATGAATTACTTCTTTATATTAGTAAAATTATTTGAAACTTTTTTTTTTTTTTTTAGATTCATCTAATCTAGTAGAAGATAGCACTTTTGAGATAATTCTTGATGATTTGGATGATTTTGATGAAGAATATTCTGTGATTGAAAATGAAATTAATTGAATGTTTTTTAATTGACAATTTCTTGGATAGATGGAAATTTTTTTGTTAATGATTGTGGAATATTTTAAGAATTTTATTATGTTGTAGAACCTTATGAAATACTTTCCAAAGTTTATTAATTTTATATAGTTATGTGTATATGAATTTATCATTTACGTTAAATTATTGATATTTTTTGTATTTTCTAGCATATTTATTATTTTTATATAAATGGGTATTATTCGACCCGATCTTCCCTGACCCGCAACCCAACCCGATCCGATTTGAAATGGGGCGGGTCACGGATCGGGTACTTGGATTTTCCATAGATCGGATATGGATATTATGAAATCCGCCCCAAACCCGATCCACGGTCAACCCTAACTATGTATAGGATTCAAGTCTGGAGGACGCAAAGTAGTGGTCGTTTCTGGATATGGGGTGACTGATTTAGATGTTATGGGGAAATGAATAGATTTTCCTTGAATCAGATAATTAACTGTGATTTCATTTATATGTGACCAAAGTTTAGAAGTCAAAGAGTCTGATTGTAAACTCAAAAAATTTGGCTCTAAGTTCTATTTTATTTTGGCCTCAATGTATTGTATTTGGCACTACATTTTGAATTTCATTTAAATTTGGAGAAAACATATTTTGCTTTTAATTTTGAATTTGAATTGAAAAATTATTCAAGTTTAAACAAGTTAGAGCCAAAATTTAGGTCTTCTCTCTATTTTCGCTGAAAATTTTGAAAATTTATGGCATTCAATGAATAAATTCAAAAATTTGAGTTTAATTTGACTTCGAAATTTTTCGCTTTTGGATGCATATCATGTAAAACGGCCACATTCTAATAAAGTGTAATAGAGTTAATAAAGAAGGTTGGAAGTGATATCTAAATGATGTAAGTAGGCAATAAAAAGCACTTCTTGGAATTACCTTTTGTATCAGCTATTGTTGCCATAACTAATGAAGAAATGAAAAGCATTTTAAGGGGAAAACTCCATTTAACTAATTTTTTTTAATCTAAGAGTTTTTTCTGTTTTCTCTGAATAAAGAGAACAGAGGGAGTAACTTTTATTTCATAATAAATTACAATATATAAAGAAAGATATAATTATTTTTAATATTATTGTATTTGTTATTTTGTTTTTAGTTCCTCTCTTCCCAAATACTTGTTACATTTGATAAACTACTATATTCTCAAATATTTGTCACATTTATGGGATTTCACGAATAGTAAATTATTTTTTTCATTTTTACCCTTTGTATATAAATAATAGTGATTGCTTCAATTTCTCAATAATTTATTTTAACTTGGATAAGTTAAGGATAGGATAGTTATTCACCGAAGAATTTAATGTAACTTACACAAATTGAATGTAACAAGTATTGGGGAACAGAATGAGTACTGTTTATATATAATTAAGCTTGTTAAAAGTAATCAAGTTTGATTCCATTAATCAAACTTTTATTTGAATTAAATAGGTTGAATTATCCTATAACCCTGCATAAAAACTACCATCGATCAAACACAAATCTTTCTCTTCTTCTTATCATTGTTCTCTTTTCTTTCTTTTAAAATTTTAGTAGCTTAGAAATATTGTTTGGGTGAATTTTTTACTCTCAGAAAGCAAGAGATTCTCCTTTATTTGTAACGTCCAATAGTTTCTTAAAAGATAATTAATATTCATTTTTTGTAAACTAGATTGTATATATAACTTGATATATATCCATCTAATTTTTTATTTAATACAATCTATTACAAATTTAATTATTGTCAATTTTCCTGTCATTCAACATCCAGTTAATTGAATTTGTTAACTAATGCCAATTTAAAATATAAAATATTTTATATTTTGTAAAATTAATTGATCTTGTGTAATATAAAATATTTTGTAAAATTAATTAAATTTTATAGCGTTTATGTTTAAAGATACCACATTAAATTTGACTAAATAAATTTTTATTTTAAATATCACATGAAGTAATCTGTAATATTAGTCTTATTTGAAGTTAAAGGTTTTATATTATTTTTTTATTGATTATTATCATCTTTGTAAAATAAATAAATAAATAAAAAAAGATTCACATGGCAAATATTCTCACCCAATTAAAATTTTGTGATGAAGTAAGTCTCATGTCATGTGCTTTCGTTAAGTCATCTCTATGCCAATTATCATCACATGCCAGTGTCATGTGCTTTCTTTCACATCCTCTACACCAATTAATAAAGAAACTTTTCTCTGTTTTTTTTTTTTATTTAAAAAAACTCTTAGTCAATAACAGGGGATGTCAAAACGAATTGGTTTTTCCAAATTTAACACCAACCTATTTAATAAATAATATGATTAGAGTCGATATGAATACAATAAAAAATTAAACATATGACACAAACATGATAAATATAAATTATTTAATTAAATGAGTTATATAAAGGTTAGAAAGTTTAAAATCATACAATTAAATTGAGTTGGTTTTTATGAACGTGCATTGCATGTTATTTCTACTCGTTATTTATACTCATGTATTTATACTCCTTGACTTTTACTCGTTTCAAGTAGTAATTTAATTTATATATATAATTTTAGTGTCATGTGCTCTTCTTTCACATCCTTCTACACCAATTAATAAAAGAAAACTTTTCTCTGTTTTTTTTTTTTATTTTAAAAAACTCTTAAGTCAATAAACAGCGGATGCTCAAAACGAATTAGGTTTTTTCCAAATTAACACCAACCTATTTAATAAATAATAATGATTAGAGTCGATATGAATACAATAAAAAATTAAACATATGACACAAACATGATAAATATAAATTATTTAATTAACATGAGTTATTTATTAAGGTTAAGAAAGTTTTAAAAATCATACAAATTTAAATTGAGTTGGTTTTATGAACGTGCATTGCATTCGTTTTATTTACTACTCGTTTATTGTATACTCACATGCTAGTATTTAAATAACTTCCCATTGAGTCTTTTCCTATCGTAGTTCAAGTAGTAATTTAACTATACTGAATCATAAGTGTATTCTCGTGATTAATTCTATATATATATATATATTTAATTAATTTTTGTTTCGAATAAATTGGCCATTTGGACCAAATATTACTAAAAATTCTATAGCGAGTTATTCACGAAAATATAAATAAAAAAAGTTTAAATAAATCAGATACTAATAAGGCGCTTTAAGAACAGTATTAATAAGTAAAACATAAACAAACTCAAGAATGGTAGTATATCTATATATTATTAATTTTTGTTCAATAATTAATATTACTAAAAATCTAAGAGTATTCACGAAATAATAAAATAAAAAAGTTTAATAATTACATAACCTTTTAAGAAAAGTTATAAGTAACAAAACAACAAGATGTATCATTAAAGTTGATATATTATTCTAAAAAAGTAAAATATATAATAAAAATGATTATTGATAACATTATTGAGACTGGTCCTTGTAAAGTTATTTGTAACTTATCGTCTCTCTTCTGATTCTTTTGCTTTCTCCGGTTAGTACCCCAAACTCTAGAATCTCTAGAATCTATAGTTTTGCTATATATAATCTATATTTGCAGCTATTTTTCCATTCGTACAGTTCCCAATTGGAGAATTCGACTCTAATTTTAATGGTTGAATGTTGATTATATATGTGAAGTTTAGAAATTGAGACCGCATAATTCTTTTATTTTTATCTAATTTCTTTGTTTTCATCTATTTTTTGCTGGTTTCATATTTCTGCTCTAAGAATATTGAGAATTTAGAGCTTTTCTTATATAAATTGGTATTTCTTATGTTAGTTTTTGCTTACAAACTAAATAAAAATGCTTTCTTTTTCATTTTTAGTGGATAAAATTTGGAAAATTCTTACTGAATGCAATCTTCTGGATGTTTTCACTCTAATAGAAAGATATTTGATTATAAATATAAATGAATGATTAAAAAAAGTTTCATTTTTTTTCATACAGTATCTGTTAGTCATGTTGAAAATTTTCTTTTCTGGTATTTGCTATCCATAAAAAAGTATTTTCATTTTGAACTTAAGTGTATTTGTTGCAAAAAATAAAAGAAAGCTAAATTATCTTTTTGCTTTATGGTTTTGTTTTATAAGATTTGATTTGCAAACCTTAAACTTAGTACCAATATTACTGATTGTTATCAATTTAATGTTGATAAAAAATAACATTGACATAATAATAATAATAATTCCACAAAATATCATAAATCAAATAAGGTTGTTTATAATATTTGCCTATGAAAAATTAGTAAATTAATATAACCAATTAAAATTAAACTACTTTTATTTTTCCATCAATAAAATTAAAGTGCTTAAAACAAAACAAATCACAAATTGTGAATTCATTAGAATTTCAAGAGATGAAATACACTTATATTATTGAAATTTATTAACTGAAAATTCCAACTATTTGGAGAAAACCAACCACACTACCATTCTACTGGAACTCTTGTACCATCTGATCCTTTGGAGATAACATTTGCTTTCTCTCAATTAGCTCTAAGAGGCCTACTTATAGTGAGATTTTAGATTGATTAGATTAATATTAGGATTCCTAATTGATTTAATATTTCTATTTAGTTAATATTTAATATTCCTTAATGATTTTCTTTAAAATGAATAATTTATAATCAACTAATAACTCTTTTTTCCGTTTCTTGTATAATTTATCGATTAGGATTTATGTAAATGAATCAAAAGATTTTTATTTTTTGTTTTTTTTTTTTGTTTTCTAGTGTACTAATAAGTAGGTATTAGTCTATTTAAACATCTGCAAAATATTTTATATTATTATATCTTATTTTAATTTTTTAGTCAATAAAATTTAAAATTTCCTAATTAAAATAGGGCTAAATTATACTTAATGATATTTTTATATAATATTAATTAATTAATAAACAAATAAATTAAAAATTTTCTAATTAGAATGTGACTAAATCAACCAATAAAATATCAATAAAATTAAAATTTCCTAATTAGAATACGACTATATTATCCTTAAT